CAGAGGCAAACCAGAGGGAGTCAGCAGTAGAGGAAGCCAGCATAGCTATTGAATCATTTTCATTCCCAAAGCAGGCACCCTCTCCTCTGCCTTCTCCTCAGAAAGAACAAAGCTCTATAACTAAAAAACAAGACAAATTGAAACAGAATAACTGAGCATCTCAAACAGCTCAAAAACAGAATAAGGTTGCCTGCATAGAAGCTTATTACAAAGAAACAGCTAGCACAAGTATTAAAAGATGCCAATAGTGCAATATCAAATATAGTGCACCAGCTCAAAACAAACCAACTAATGTACAGCACGGCTGCAGTTATAACTGAATACTTTGGATGCAAAATCAGCAAACAAGAAAAAAAGCCGAAGAGTGCACCACCAAAATGGAAGATCAGGTTGGAAAATAAGATCAGCAAGCTAAGATCAGATGCAAGCAAGATAGAACAGGTGAAAAAAAAGAAGCTGAAGAACAAAAAGACTAAAAAATACCTGATCAAGAAATATCACCTAGAAACAAGGAAGATCAAAGAACCATTGGAAATAATAAAGCAGCAAATAACAGCCATAGCCAAGAAGATCAGCAGATATGAAGTTCGAATTGCACACTACAGGCAGAATCTCCAATCTCAGTCGAATCAGAAATGTTTCTACCAATCCACCAATTGACTGCAATGAACCAGTCAGCACCTGACAAAGAAGAAACAGTATAGTTCCGGGCACAGCTATGGGACAACGCAAAGAAATACAACAAGAATGCAGCTTGGATAAAGGAGGTGGATAAGAATAAAAAGCTGAAATGAAAGAACTTGTAATAACAGTAGATATGGTGGAGAAAAGGGCAAGGAAGATCAAGAATTGGCAGCACCAGATGAAGATGAACTGCATGGTTTTTGGTTGAAACATCTGACTGGTCTGCACCCACTCATTGCCAAGCAGTTTAACAACATACTGCAAGGAGATGGAGTTGAGGATTGGTTAACATCTGGCAAAACCTAGCTGATCACGAAAGATCCAACAAAAGGGGCAGCATCGGCCGAATTGGCAGCACCAGATGAAGATGAACTGCATGGTTTTTGGTTGAAACATCTGACTGGTCTGCACCCACTCATTGCCAAGCAGTTTAACAACATACTGCAAGGAGATGAAGTTGAGGATTGGTTAACATCTGGCAAAACCTAGCTGATCACGAAAGATCCAACAAAAGGGGCAGCATCGGCCAACTGCAGGCCAATTACCTGCTTACCAACAACTTTCAAATTGCTAACTGGTATTGTAGCTGATGCAGTCCAACAGCATCTAGTTGGAAACAAGCTCTTTCCATCTGAGCAGAAAGGAAACCGCCCAAACAGCAGAGGAACAAAAGATCAGCCCCTAGTTGACAAGATGATTGGAAAACTGCAATAGAAGGAAGATCAACTTGAATGTAGCTTCTTGATTACAAGAAGACATTCAACTCCCTGCCACATGATTGGATAATTAAATGCTTAGAAATAACAGGAGTCAGTAGAAACATCAGAAACTTTGTGCAATGATCAATGGCACAATGGAAGACATAGCTGCTGGTCAATGGTGATAGACTGGGAATGGTTAACATCAAGAGAGGAATTTTTCAAGGAGACTCACCATCACCACTGCTGTTTGTCATTGCATTAATTCCTCTGTCAACAATACCGAACAAGTCAGGCTATGGCTATCAAACATCAAAAACATTTGCCAGGTTATCCCACCTCCTTTACATGGACGATTTGGAGCTGTCTGGAAAAACACCATCTGAAATAGAATTGCTGCTCAACACTGTCCGAATATACAGCCAAGACATTGCAATGGAGTTTGGACTAGACAAATGTGCCACCCTGACCATCAACAGGGGAAAAATAGTGAAAGCTGAAGGAATCAAGATGCCCTATGGAAATAACATCAAGAGTCTGGATGAAGAAGATCAGTACAAGTACCTGGGCATCCTTCAAGCTGACAACATCAAGCACATTGAAGTCAAGAAGGAGGTTAGTAGTGAATAGATCATGAGAGTGAAGAAGAGCTT